GGGGCCGCTTGGGGTCCCCTTGGGGGCCTCCTGGGGGCCTCTTGGGGCCATCTTGGGGCCTCTTCGGGCCTCCTGGGCGCTTCTTGGGGCCATCTTGGAGGACATCGATCCAACAAAAAGGGGAGCTTGTTTTAGCGCTGCCCCCCCCCCCCCCCCTCCCCCCCCCCAGAGGCCGACATGGGGCCAACATCTTAGAACAACCAATGATTTTGGCTTCCTCGCCGAAGGCCGTTTTGGGCGCTCGAACTACCCGCGACGGGCCCCATCCAGGTCCAGGGGGGGGGTCGGGGGAGGGGGGAACCCCTCCCCGAAGGGGAAGAATGGGGGTTGGAAAAGACGCCGCCCCAGACCACCTACGCCCACAGGGCTGGTGGGATTACAAGTTTTTTTCATCCCCTCCTCCTTCCCCCCCCGCGTCTGCGCGAGGAAAGGGGACGAAGAGGGAGGGGGACATGACATGGAGGACGAAGAAGAGGAGGATTTGGGGACAGGAAATGGATGCTGCTGCTGCTGCTGCTGCTGCTGCTGCTGCTGATGATGATGATGATGATGATGATGATGATGATGATGATGATGATGATGATGATGATGATGCGGATGATGGTGGCGATGATGATGATATTGATGGTGATGGTGATGATGATGGTGATGGGGAGGATGATGAGCATGATGATGATGCTTCTGACGCTGATGATTCTGATGGTGGTGGTGATGATGATGATGACTAGGGGCGGGGGACGACGAGAAGGAGGAGGCGGAGGAGGAGGAATATGACCATTTTAAACCCAAGACGCACCCTCCACATGTCCCTACATTCATTTAAGTTCATTGCGGGAGCTGCTCACTGGAAAACAACCGTTTGAAGACCACGCAATGGTGTCAACACGCAATTCCTGAAACTTCAGCGCCGGAAATCAACATGACTGTTGCGTCCTGACAATCCTAAACCGTGCCAAAACACAATACGTGGGACCCCAGCCCCGCGAGTCAAAGTGATTGTTGCGCCCTGACAACGTGTTAATCGTGCCAGAACACCATTCCTGGGATTTCAACCATATGACTCCGTGAAGCGGTTGCAGACTTTTGAGACGAACGTGCGCGGCGCTAAGACGAGAGCCTCCGTTTGGAAGATAACTTCCATATATCTTTGAACATGCTGCAAACTCTGGCGACGAATGTGCGCGGCGCCAAGAACAACATTTTGAAACCCGCCCTCCATCCGTGAAGGTTGCAGATTTCAAACTTCAGGGTCAGAAGTGGTGGGGAAGGCTCAGGCGAAACGCCCCGCCCGCCCTACCGACACGTCTGGGGGTGCGACAGGGGAAGTTATTTATACGGACAGGGATGGAGGAGGAAAGAGGAAAGAGGATGATGATGCTGATGATGCTGATGATGCTGATGATGATGATGATGATGATGATGATGATGATGATGATGATGATGATGATGATGATGATGATGATGATGATGATGATGATGATGATGATGATGATGATGATGATGATGATGATGAGGAGAGGAGGAGGAGGAGGAGGAGGAGGAGGAGGAGGAGGAGATGGGAGGAGGAGGAGGAGGAGGAGGAGGAGGAGGAGGAGGAGGAGGAGGGAGGAGAGGAGGAGGAGGAGGAGGAGGAGGAGGAGGAGGAGGAGGAGGAGGAGGAGGAGGAGGAGGAGGAGGAGGAGGAGGAGGAGGAGGAGGAGGAGGAGGAGGAGGAGGAGGAGGAGGACGACGAGGACGACGAGGACGACGAGGACGAGGAGGAGGAGGAGGAGGAGGAGGAGGAGGAGGAGTTAATTCTAGACGCTTCGCGTAACCCCACCAGCCCATCCAGAAACGATGCCCAGAGGAATTGCCTCGAGCAGGGAAGTGGGCAGCACACAAAGGAAGGGTCCCCCAGTGGAGGCCTCTAGGGGCGTCTTGGGGGCCTCTTGGCGGTCCCGGATGCCTCTTAGAGCGTCTTGGGTGCCTCGGAGAGCTTCTTGAGGCCTCTTGGGGGTCTCTGGGGAGCCTCTTGGGGAGCCTCTTGGAAGCCTCTTGGGCGCCTGTTGGGGCCTCTTGGGGCCGTCTGGGCGCCTCTTGGGAGCCGTGGGAGCGCTCTTGGAGCCCTCTTGGGCCATATTCGAGCCATCTTGAGGCCTCGTATGGGCCATCGGAAGCGAACAGGCGAGAAAGCCGAAACCATGTATTTTCCCAAGGTTTTGGACAGACGTTGGCCTCGTCGGGGCCTCCTGGGGGAGCTCTTTGGCCACTCGGAGCCGTCTTGGAGCGGTCTTGGGGCCTCTTGCAGCATCGTGGGAGCCATCTTGAGGCATCTTGGGATATCTTGAGCCATCTTGGAGGTCATCTTGGGCTCGCCCAGGCGATTCTTAGAGTTATCTTAAGCAGTTCCCGCCCAGGAGGCCAACATGTGGCCAAAACCTTAGTAATATCAGTGATTTTGGCATTGTCGCCGAGGCCTCTTAGAGCGTCTTGGGTGCCTCTTGGGTGCCTCTGGGGGGCCTCTTGGGGGTCTCTTGGGAGCCTCTTTGGGGCATCCTGGGGGCCTCTTGGGGGCCTCTTGGGGCCTCCTGGCCACCTCTTTGGACCCTCTTGGGGCACCCTTGGGAGCCTTGGGAGCGCTCGTGGGGCCATCTCGGAGGAGATCGATCAAAGAAGGGGGGGTCCTTGATTAGCGCACCCCCCCAGGAGGCCAACATGTGACCAAAACCCTCGTACAACCAATAAGTTTGGCTTCCTCGCCGAGGCCGTTTTGGACGCCCTGACCGCTCGCGGGGCGCCCCGTCCAGGTCCAGGGGAGGGGGTAGGGGGTGGGGTGAACCCATCCCCGAAGGGGAAGATTGGGGTTGGAAGAGGAGCCGCCCTGAACCACCTACGCCCAGAGGGCTGGTGGGATTGGCTCTCAACCATCCTGTGGTGTTGGGTCTTCGATTTGAAGAGACAGCGCCCGCGTTCTCCCCCCTTTCCCATCCCTGCCTCTGCCCTCCGCGGCCGTCAACCATTTCGGAACATCCTTTAGACGCTTCGTGGCCCCATATGGGGGCTCCTCCGAAGGGCCCCAGCGGCTGCGTCCGCATGCGCCCACCGCACACCTGTGGGCACACCCTCAGACGTTTCGTGGCCCCGTGGGGAGCTGCACCGAAGGCCTCAGTGGTTGCGTTTGCATTCGCCCATCGCATCACTTTCGACACACCACTCATACGTTTCGTGGCCCGATAGGGAGCTCCACTGAAGGCCCCAGTGGCTTCGTTCGCATGCGCCCATTGTTCCCATGTCGACACACCCATCATACGTTTCGTGGCCCCACAGGGAGCTCCACCGAAGGCCCCAGTGACTGCGTTCGCATGCGAATGTTGCACCCATGTCGGCACACCCATCAGACGCGTCGTGGCCCCATGAGGGGGCTCCACCGACAGCCCCAGTGGCTGCGTCCGCATGCGCCCACCGCACCCATGTTGGCACACCCTCCTACGTTTCGTGGCCCGACAGGGAACTCCATCGAAGGCCCCAGTGGCTGCGTTCGCATGCGCCCATGGCACCCATGGCGACACACCCATCAGACGTTCCGTGGCCCCACAGGGCGCTTCACCGAAGGTCCCAGTGGCTGCGTTCGCATGCGCCTGTTGCACCCATGTCGACACACCCATCAGACGTTCCGTGGCCCCATAAGGGGTTCCACCGACGGCCACCCATATCGACGCAACCTCAGACGTTTCGTGGCCCCATAGGGAGCTCCACCGAAGGCCCGGGTGGCTGCGTTCGCATGCGCCCACCGCTTTCATGTCGGCACGCCCCTCAGACGCTTCGTGGCCCCATAGGGAGCTCTACCGATTGCTACACGGGCTGCGTTCGCATGCGCCCACCGCGCCCATTTCGGCTCAGCACTCATACGTTTCGTGGTCCCGCAGTGAGCTCCACCGAAGGTTCCAGTGGCCGCGTTCGCATGCGCCCGCCGCGCCCATGTCGGCACACCCATCAGACGTTTCGTGGCCCCACAAGGAGCTCCACCGAAGGGCACAGTGAAAGTGCTCGCATGCCCCACCGCGCCCATGTCGGCACACCCCTCAGACTTTCCGTGGCCCCGTATCAAGCAGTGGCGAAGCGTTTGGGCTTGCTTATAGGCCCACCAAAGAATGTTCCCACAACTATGGTTCGCATGACATGTCGTTAGAATACTTGTGGCTGGGATTGTCTTGTTTTAACACATCGGCTTAATGATCAAAGGACATTGTTTTAGTCATTCGAGCATTCTTTGGTTGTAAAACCATGTCGTTGTACGCCTATAGGAATGCCGGGACGGTCGGTCCCTGCTCAACCAGAAGGGAGCTCAACCGAAGGCACAAGTCGCTGCGTTCGCATGCGCCCAGTTTCGTTGCCCCACAGGGACCTCCACCGAAGGCCCCAGTGACTGTGTTCGCATGCGCTCACCGCACACATTTCGGCACACCCCTCACGCGTTTCGCGGTCCCATAAGGAGTTCCACTGGAGGCCCCAATGGCGGTGTTCGCGTGCGTCCGCCGCATTCATTTCGGCTCAGCGCTCACACGTTTCGTGGCCCCATAGGGAACGCCACCGAAGGCCCCACGCGCTTCGCGGCCCTACAGGGAGCTCCACTGAAGTCCCCAGTGGCGGTGTTCGCATGCGTCCGGCCCACCCATGTGGGCACACCCCTAACACGTTTCGTGGTCCCATAGGGAGCTCCACCGAAGGCCCCTGTGGCTGCGTTCGCATGCGCTCACCGCGCCCCTTCCGGTACATTCATTAGACGTTTCGTGGCCCCATATGGAGTTCCATGGAAGACGATACTCACACTTGCGTTGCTCACAACTGCGTATGGTTGGGTCCTTCGCCAGGCTACTGTTGGGGGGGGAGGAGGAGGGGAGGAGGAGGACGAGGATGACCACGACGACGGCAACGACGGAGCGGTTTGCGGCGGCGGCGACGAGGACGGCGACCATCTGACACTGACGACGGACGGCAGCGCGCGGGGTCGCCGCGCGGAGGCCCGTGCGGCCGCTCGCTGGCTCGAGGAGATGCGCGCCGCGGCGCAGCCGCCCAGCGGCTTCTGCTACAGCTCCGTGGTGCAGGCCCGGCGTCGGTCCCTCCTTCATCCTCCCTTCATCCTCCCTCCCCTCCTGCTCCTCCTCCTCCTCCTCCTCTTCCTCCTCCTCCTCCTCCTCCTCCCACCTGGGCCCAAGAGATTGTCAGGGCAGCCCAGACCGCCACCATGACAGTCCACCGAATGTGCAGATAAGAGGGGCGGCGGCCCGCATGATGGTGGCATGGGCCGCTTCTCTCGCGGTGCTCCTCCTTCAACCCGCTCACGGCGAAGCCCGACAGTCTGGCGGAGATCTATGAAGAAGCGTCCAACTTCGACGCAATAGCACTGACGGGAACAGCACGCAGAAGAAAAGAACCCATCATCACCCAGAATTGCTGCGAGAGCACACGATACTATGAAGCTGTATGGCAAGCAGGAGACCTCACCAACAAGAGCACGGGGATCATCATCGCGCTGCAGGGCAGGCTCAGGCACGCTACAGCCATCGACCTGACGGAGCCACAATAAAAACTTAGTGCACGGGCACTGGCCGTCACACTGCAGCACCACGACCAGACGCTGATTATCATAGGATGCTACTGCCCGCCGCAGCCCACCAAGGGAAAAAAACGCACGCAAGGACCACTTCGCCACTACGAATAGGCTTTCCGCGTGGATGGAGACAATCGCCAAGAACAGGCCGCGCAACGCCATCACCATCACCACGGCGGGAGATCTGAACGGCGGCGTGGGCATCACACAAAAAGGAATCAAACCAGACACCCTGGCAGTGGGACCAGGCAGGGCGCCAGAGCGACTAGTAGGAAGAGCAGGCCAGAAGGCTCGCCAGTATGCAGGACGACACTGATTTTATGAAACGAAAATCGTTGACACTATGAATTCCTGGCGCCCAACGTATTTCGGCGAGAAGAACGCGAGCCGCATCGACTACATCATGATACTGCAAAGCCTTGCAGAGGCGCTCGTCCCACAGGGACCACTACTACGAATGGGCGCACGATGAAAGCATACACAATGCAGAGCGCGACGCGACCACGTACCAGTACAAGTTACATTCCGCCTACCCCTACGACAGCGAGTACAAGGCAGACACCAGCCTCCAGGATGGGACAAGCATACCCTGGTCCAAGCGGTACGGCACGGACTACACCGCTCTGACTTCATCAATGACGTGGAGGAGGCAATCACGCAATGCGACCCCGCGGGCAAGGGCGTGGACCAGTTATTCAAAGATATCAACGAGATCCTGACCGCATAGGCGCAGAACCATTATGGACAACGAGCTAGGGCGACGGACGAGTACGAACAGCTTCGCACAGACCGTATGCAGCTGTTAGGAGAACGACGGGAAGCCAGAGCAACACTTTTCGACCTGCACGCAGGAAGTACTTACGAGGCTAACCGCCATAACGAGCCCACCCCGTCGCAACCCCCGATATGCGTGGAACGCATCGAGGAGGGGGGACACATGGGATCGAACCCCAGGGACAGAAAACGCCGAACAGCAACCCATACCCCGAAGAGAAAACAGAGCAGCTCTCAGAGACAGAAACAAGGGTGCGAACAATCGAGAACCACCTCGAAACCACTACGACGATCGGCAGAGAGATTCGCGCGACATGGCACCAGAAGCGCACCTATGCCAGGGTCGAAGAGATGTACATGGTGTGGGGGCAGCGAGATCTAGCCAGAGTGGGGTAGTCGTAGTCGTAGTCGCAGTCGTAGTCGTAGTCGCAGTCGTAGTCGCAGTCGTAGTCGTAGCAGTAGTAGTAGTAGTAGTAGTAGTAGTAGTAGTAGTAGTAGTAGTAGTAGTAGTAGTAGTAGTCGTAGTAGTAGTAGTAGTAGTAGTAGTAGTAGTAGTAGTAGTAGTAAGTAGTAGTAGTAGTAGTAGTAGTAGTAGTCGTCGTAGTCGTAGTCGTAGTCGTAGT